GTCATACTCGACGCCACCAAACAGGCCATCACGGAGTCACTCAAAAACATGGAAAACACCGGAAAGTTGGGGTCAGAGTTCGCTATAAATTATATCATTTTAAAAGTTTACTAAACTTAACTAGCTCGTTGTAGATAAAACTAGTTTTGCGTTGCCCTAACAAATTATATGCGGTTTAGCCAGGATAATAATCTAAATATTTACCAAAATTTATTAGTTATAATAAGTTTTAACAAAGCATGTTACAAATTTATATAAATATTTTTGGCAGCTATATTAATTAAATAAAAATAAAAACTAAAAAATTTGTTTGTATAAACAATTCAGACGCCAATAAACCCACTGATAAGTGGACTGAAAAAATCTTATACAACAGTACTGTACATGAGATTCAAATGAAAACTCAATGCTATTGACACCTAAAGACAAAACAAAATTTACTTTTGAGTTCAAATAAAAAGTTTAAATATTATTTAAAATTCCGTGCAATCGGTTAAAATATTTTAAATAAAAATAAAAAGTTTTACATTATATTGAACTCAAAGCTACGGCCAAACCGATGAAAAACTAATCAAAAATTTTACTAAATGTGTGAAAATGTGAAAATGATTTTCGTTTAAAACAAACAAAAATTTTTTCGTTATAAATAATTATTTTTGTGAAATATTCCGTAAAACTATTTTCTAAAACTTGTATATAAAGTGTAGTCTATAAGGAAATGGATGCGAAACACGGCGACACCCATGACAATGAAAACTCGCTATTTGTGAGCACCCATGACATCAAAAGCGAGAGCTCCCGGAGCCATAGGCGGGGACTGTCCGTGTCGTTCGCCGAGAAAACCGATGTCATACTCGACGCCACCAAACAGGCCATCACGGAGTCACTCAAAAACATGGAAAACACCGGAAAGTTGGGGTCAGAGTTCGCTATAAATTATATCATTTTAAAAGTTTACTAAACTTAACTAGCTCATTGTAGATAAAACTAGTTTTATGTTGCCCTAACAAATTATATGCTGTTTAGCCAGGATATTAATCTAAATATTTACCAAAATTTAGTAGTTATAATAAGTTTTGACAAGTATGCTACAATTTTATAAAAATATTTTTGGCAGCTATATTAATTAAATAAAAATAAAAACTAAAAATTATTAATTTCTAAAGTATTCTAGGTGATAATGTTTATATAAAAATAATATATAAATTAATTTTATTATAAACTTGTAATGAATTTAAAAATCTAAATAAATTTCTACCAAATAATAGGAGTATTCGTGAGGAATATTACGGCACACCCGACGATATGGGTGCTGAGAGCACAGCCCTACTTAAACAGTACCGGGAGCGGCACCGTACCAATCGTGGGGTACCGGGGCGACGTGGCTCGTACCTGGAGCAATCGCATGGTGGGGCCACGTGGATCACCGGTGGCTTTCTACTAGTTAGCGCCGCACTGGGCGCCGGTATACTCAACTACCCGGTAGCTTACGACAGACTTGGGGGTATAGTCCAGGCTACCTTGGTCCAATTAGGCGTACTATGCCTACTGTCGACCACCATGCTCATATTGGTCTACTGTTCAAACATTAACCATGATAACTCCTACCATGAGGTGCTCAACAGTGTGTGCGGGCCGAGGGTTAAAAACATGGCCGCCGTGTCTATACTGCTGTCCACTTTTGGTATATGTGTCACGTATTACGTGATTATTGGCGACCAGTTTGATAGGATTTTTGCCACGTTTTTTGGCGACCATTTTTGCGGCACCTGGTATATGAACAGGGCGTTTATCATACCGATCATAGCCGTGGCCATGATATGGCCCATGTGCTATTTTAAAAACTTGGAGTTTCTCAAGCATTTTAATATACTTGGTGAGTTGATTATTTTATTTGTATTTATTAGTGGTCATTGATAATGCACACATGTATTGATTATTTGTATAAATATTTTAATGTGAGTTCATTTCCCTGTTTAAAACATATCGGTTTTTGCTCTCTTAGTCTCTCTCTCTCTCTCTCTCTCTCTCTCTCTCTCCTGTAATGTAAAAGTAATTATACAATACATTAAACAGAGAAAGTTAGATAAAACTTAAATTTTTAAATACATTTACATTATGAGTCATATCTAACATTTATAATACTGTATAACTTGAATGAATAAATTGTAACAAAAAATATTAACAAAATTAGTATTTTCTAATTCAAAATAGTTTTAACTTTTGGGAAAACTTTCGAAAGGAACTACATTTTTTGTTTCAATTTACATTTTATATATTATATTAAATATTACAACAAATATAACTTTATATTAATATTATTACAAATGCATACCAAATAACATTACAATGTTTTATTATTACTATTTAATTGACCAGGTATCGTTGCCATGCTATATGTGGTATTCCTCAGTGGCTACGAGTACTTCGCCCTCAACCCCACCCCTACACCCTCTCCCACCAAACCACCGGCGCTGTCCACCAGCGTATTCACCGTATTAGCGGCCGTACCGGTGGTGAGCCTGGCCTACCAGACCCACGAGCTGGTCGTCCCGGTGAACGCCGTACTCAAGGACCGTACGATCGGAAACTTCTCGAAGTCTATGGGACTGGCGTTGACTACACTACTGGTGCTGTACTGCCTGTGCGGCACATTCGGGTACCTGACCTTCGGGTCGACCGTCAGCGCCGACATCATGCAGATGTACGACCCGACCGACCCGGTGGTGGTCATCGGTATACTGGCACTGGTAGTCAAAATGGTCACCACATATCCCCAGATCGTACTGTGCGGTCGGGACACCATCTACAGGCTACTGGTGCCCACACAGCACACCATAAACATACAGCAACTGGACAGCAGCTCCGGTAGTCCCGTACCGAACACCGGCGCCGCCGCCAACGAGCTATGGTATAGGGTAGGCATAACCAGCGTGTGGAACCTACTGGCGCTCATACTGTCGGTGCTCACGCCTAACATTACGATAGCCATCGGGTTTTTGGGTGCCATCGGCGCCTGTAACTCATTCATATTCCCGGGCCTATGTATGGTATACCTGTCCCGTCGGCAACTCCTAAATGGTTGCGCCGCTAATAAGTGGCGAATGTTTGCGCTGTTAGTTTACGGACTGTTTATAACGACTTTCGGGTCATTAATGTCGGTCTTTGTCATCATTAGAGCCGTCAATGATTTGTACACTAATAGCGATAGTAGTGTAGAGTTGTGTCGATTATAACACCATTTGTTTCGTTATATAATTAGCTATTATTGTATAAATAAATTCATAAGAATTGCTAAAATAATTTTAAAATTGATTAATATTTAAAATTTAAAGTTGTAAATATAACATATTATTTGTAGCGCGATTTAGTATAGCTAAATTTAATAGTGAATAATAAATAATAATTTTTTCAACTGAAATTTTTAAATTAAAGCAATCTATACGCATTAAATAATAATTTTTATTTTATTATTAAAATAATTAAAAATTAATACATTATAATAATTTATATTATAATTAAAATTATTTATGTTCGCACCCGTATGTCTCGGGTCCCTGTCCACTACCATATAAACCATGGTTAATAGCCCTCAACAAGGGATAGCTCACTGAACAACACTTTGGATGAA